AAATTGAGAAACATCTAGAATCCAAAAATTATAGTCCTGCTTATATTTCTACATCCTATAAATGTCATGAATGTACATTTTATAAATCTAATATTCTTAATATTCAACACAGTAAATGAGGTTTAAAAATTTAATAAGTTGTCACCAATAATTTAGGAATGCCTAATTATTGCTGACTACTTATTATTAATCATTTATTGTGTTGAATATTAGATTTTAAACAATGTATCCAAATAAAAGTATATTCGTGACATTTCTAGGATGTAGAATTAGTCGGGGAAACACAATACAGTCGACCCTCGTTAATTCGGACCCCTTTAATCCGGATTTCGGATAATTCTGACAAAATCTGAACGATTTTTTTTTTTTTTGTAGGAATATTACCTATGCGGACCTTAAGCTAAAATACTAGTCCACCCACTGCTGGGATAAAACACCAGCGTCTTTTTGGTTAATGTAACATCTCCACCACTAGTGTGGGGGGGGGGATGCAACTTTTAGCTTCAGACATGAAAAATATTTACCATTTACTGCCAGTAAACAATGGAAATGTAAAGTATGTACCAATTAGTCAAGAAAAGTTGTGCAGTTCCTTCAGCAAATGAAGCTCACCAACTTACAATAGGCTAAATTACCTTACAACGTGTTTTCGGTAGTCTATGTTGAAGTTCTTAGCACAGGCTAACTTATCATATCATATACGGTATCACAGTTCTCATTGATCTACAAAAAATACCGGTAATAAAAACTTTTTCGATATTTCACACTTAATATAATACCCGGTAATCTACTTCAACCTCCTATTGTTTACAACGACGCATGACGCACCACCAGCTGTTGAGTATCAATCAGCTAGACGGTACACGTGTTTTTCGAATCGTTTTAAGTTAAAAAACTGTTACATCACATGTATATTTTACCTTAACTGTGCCTGAATGAATATATTCTCGGAAATAAATAGTAGTTTTGCTGAAACGTGATGTACAGTATTTTAATGTAAAATAGGATAAAATACATGACGAAAACTAAAGATTTTACCCAACCTTCAGATGTTCAAGAGAAGTTACTCGTGTTTTTTTAATAGTTTTTGGTTAAAATGCTGTTATATTACAATGGTATTTTATTCATACTGCGCTTGATATAATGCATTCATGGAAACGTAATATTTTTGCTGAAATGACGTACGTATTACAGTGGAAAGTGGGATAAAATTGTGACGAAAACAATGACTTTCGCTTTCTTTCGTTCAAAAGATGTTACCGTAATCGCTTTTCGATTGGTTTTCAGTTAAAAAACTGTTGTATTACAATAATATTCTATCCTAATTGACTTGAATAAATACTACGATCCCATATTTCTGAATGCTTTCATTAAAATACATCCAAATCATTTTCCTTGTCATCGTCAGCAGCACCAAACAGCTTCTCCCAGTCCTCTCCTTGAACAGGGCTAGAGGGTACGTGTTTTTTTAATCGTTTTCAGTTAAAAAACTGTTACATCACACGTATATTTTACCTAAACTGCACCTGAATGAATATATTCTCGGAAATAAATAGTAGTTTTGCTGAAACCTGATGTATTTCAATGTAAAATAGGTATAAAATACATGACGAAAACAAAAGACTTTACCTAAGCTTCCGATGTTCTTGAGATGTTATTCGTTTTTTTACTAGTTTTCGGTTAAAATACTGTTATATTACAATGATATTCTATTCATACTGTAATATTTTTGCTGAAATTATGTACGTATTACAGTGGAAAGTGGGATAAAATCGTGACGAAAACAATGACGTTGAAATATAATGGAATATTAACCCCCATATCGGTTAATTCGGACAATCGGCTAAAACGGACATCCTCCCCCCCCCTATTAGTCCGAATTAACGAGGGTCGACTGTATATATGAATACCTGGTACGGTGAACTACCCGGTATATCGACGTTTCAGTTTACATTATCTTCATAGTTCGTCTATGCGTGTATCCCTAACTATTGCTCACAATTGCTATAGTCGAAACGTTTATATTAAGCACTTCATCACAGAGTTGGAGACCAGATTCTCCTCCTTTCACCAGAAAGCACTGAAGGGTATGTCACTTGTGTCGAGCATCCTGGTGACTCTTTCTGGAACAAACTGAAGAACAGGATAGAGGACTTGGTGGAGATCTACAGAGATGACCTCCCTTCGCCTGGCCAGTGAGCTTCACTGTTGGGCCGTCCAGTGGCAGAAGCAGCAGTCTGGCACCCTGCCATCCTCTCCATCATCAGCTCTACAGCATGCCACTACCATGTTTCCCAACATCCAGATGCTGCTGACCATCCTTTGTACCCTGCAAGTCACCACCTGCTCTACTGAGAGGTCCTTCAATGCCTTGAAGTGCATCAAGACCAATATAAGACTGTCTAGCCTCAGCCTTCTCCACATCCACAGAGACATTTCAATGGAAGTCAGTGACATCATTGACATCTTTGCACGGCAAAATCCAAGGAAAATGGAACTTGATAATATTATTGCAGATCATTAATAACTGCAATGAAGTGATTGCTTAACCCTTAAGCCCTGGGTTAGGGTGCTGCTGGCAGTACCCCCTGGGATAAATCGAGAAAAAAATTAAACTTTTCCAAAAATAATAAAAAAATAAATAAATAAAATGGCGGGAAAATAGGAGGACGATCTGGAATGTCACCCGGGGCGCGCCAGTCGGACATTCTGGATCGTCACCCGAGGTCTAAGGGTTAAACAATACAAAATAAAATGTTAATGAACTCAAAATGTGGTAGTGATAGCATATAGATAGGTTACTCTTGATGTGTAATAAAAATAAAACATGATTTATACGTTGAACTTGCCTTGTACTTTTTCCTTTTCAAGTGTCTGTTACGACATTGAATGTTTACTCTCACTCTAAATTACCCCTTGATTATCTTTTCAAATAACCTAATAGCCGTCGCATATTGCCTCAGAAAGTCCCTGAAATTGATCAGCTGTATGGGCTCGCTGCGCTCGCACTGTATATACAATATTTACATTCGGACAATCTGGGGACCCCCCCCCCCTCCCCCCCTCAATACCAGAATCCTGGGCACACACCTGTAGAGTGGTAGAGTGGGGGATTAGTGGTCTCCTATTACTGACTTTCTGATGGAATATCAGGTCACCCATTCTTGGGTGGGGGATTAGTGGGTCTCATGACCTGAAGATTTCTTAAATAAAGATGAAAGCTAAAGTATTTTTAGGTTGATTGTGATAAGTACAAGTACAGGTAGAAGTATAAATGAGCAAGTTGTATCCCTTCAACATTATATTACATAACATTTTTAAATATGGAGTGAGAAAGGAGAAACATGTGGGTGATTAGACAGATGGAGTGGAAAGGAGTGGTAACATGCACTAAGGTGTTGTCAAGCACTCCTCAATAGCCGATGCTTATTTCCCCTCCAGGCAGTCACACAACAAGATCCTCACTGGATGCGTGTTGTCTTAATTCCCGTGTGTGTGTGTGTCAGGAAACACCTCAACATTTATTATTATATATTCCCATATGATCAGCCTCTTATGATGTATATTTTATCATTAATAATATAAAATATTAAGTACAGTATTATGGAAAAAATTAAATATATAATCAGTAATTTACTGCACTGCACTATATATTATCAATATGTTAACTAAATTTCAGAATGACCAATAATTTTAATGTAAAAATGCAAAAATATTCAAGACACCAACAAAATCGATGTTCACTGCACTGTAAACAAAGCCAAACTGACGCCTGGTGGGTGAGTCAAGCGGCTGATGGGTGCACAAAAAAACTAGTTCTCTGTACTGCATATATTATCAATACGTTAACTAAATTTTAAAATGACTAATAATTTTAATATAAAAAATGAAAAAATATTAAAGAGCATAACTTTCTTGACATTTACCCCACTGGAAGCAAATGTAAACATAGAACAGATTACTGAATTGGCAAACTAGCCCATCAGCTGATCAGTTGATGCTCACAACAAAACGTGTTTGTTGTAAGGATTTCGTTAATAAAAAAGTTTTGTTCGTTTACCGAATTGAAGATCCTTATGGGAGGTAATTCGTTAACCAAAATTTTGCTAACCGAGGGACCACTGTACTGTATAATTTTGTGGTTTCCATTTCCAATGTTTCTTCTCTTTTTATGTGATGATAGCATAGCTGCTTATCAATAACAGTGGGACAATGTTACAGGTAGTTCTGCTATAACACGATAATTATGTTCTTGTAAAATATCGTGTTATAGAAAATCGCGTAATAGAAATAACAGGGCTTATGGAGAAAATAGGGTTAGGTGCAGATTACTCGAAATCGAAAAAATTTAGTAGTTAGCCTAACACAAAGGATAGCACAGTCTAAATAAATGTTACATTCATATCTAATAATGAAATCATACAGTAAATGTAACACTTTACTTGATGGGGGAGAAGGGTGATTTTGAGGTTGATAAAATCGAGCTTCTCTTCAAGTGTTATATCCTTTCTTTTACGATCATCACCGGGAATTCTATCACCAGAACGCTTCTTGTTGATATTCTTCTTTACTATATTCACAGTTAATACAGTGGGGTATGCTATAACGAACGGATCCTACTACGAATATTCCTATAACGAACGGTTTTACCTATAAAATTGAGAATGCTATAACGAACGAAACTCCAACAACGAACATTATTTAAAAAATTTTTTTGTTTTTTTTTCAAATTTATTGTTTTTTTATTACAAATATTAATGATATTCTTTATTTCAGGGGTTTAGATGCATATTTATGCACTTTTTTACAATTTTTACAATTTTATATTATATTTTTCAGTGTTAAGTGATTATTTGGGGGCCTGGAACGGATTAATCCTATAACGAACGAATGCTATAACGAACAAGGTTCTAGAACCAATTAGATTCGTTATAGCATACCCCATACCACAAAATTGGAGAAATAGTAAGCAAAAATCGCGTTATAGCAAACAAGCGTTCGCATTATACAAATATCGTTCCTAATTCATAAATCGCGTTATCAAAACACGCGTTATAGCAGAACTCACTGTACCATGCTACAAGGACAAGAATATTTTTATTGTACTACTCGCCCCATCACCAAATCATGAGCATTATTTTTGTCCAAGCTGTGGTAATTCATAAATTTCTCATAAGTGCTGCCATTAAACATTCATCCAATACAGTGTATTGGTGTAGTAGTAATATATCTGAAGTCATTCTGTTGACCACGTACAGTACAGTATTGTACTCTAAAATATCAATGCAGGTTTACCTACCTACTGTGATATCTTAGATCATATAAATTTGGATCTGGGGAAAATTAAAATTCTGCTGCTATAACAATAAAGATTTATAATCAATTACTCAAATTTTATTATCCTTACATGCCTATAGAAAAAATACAAGATCAAAATTCCACATTCTGTAGCACTATATTACTGTATAGTTTACAAAGTAAACACAATTTGGTCTAAATACTGTACTGTACTAAAATTCAAAACCACTATTTTAAACACACGTAAATACCATAATCATGTACTGCACCCTATATACTTTATACTGTAGTAATAATATAATACAGTATATATGGAGAATAAATATAACAAGTAGGCAATTCATGACAATGCACCCAGAATACTGTATATACAGACAGTACAAGGAATGACATTTGCAGCCATGTTTAGTTATTACAAACTGTCTTTGTATTACAAACTCAAAACTAAACTAAAATGTGTCCCTTTTGAACTGAACTACATAGGTAATTTATATACTTTGTACCTTAGTAGAAACTTTGAACTAAATCTTTCTATCTTTTTGCTTTAAGACATCAATATGTTCCTGAAGCAGTATGTCTGCAGCATCACCAGGAGATAACACTCCATCCATCACCTCCTGTTCAATTTGATCTATTTTCTCCTTTAGCCCAGAAGAATTTATAAAAGTAGAAACTAGGCTATCTTTCAGATGCGTCCAAAGCCATGCTCGTCGTTGTGATCTACGGCAACTTACAAATTTACCGCAGTCTTCCATAATTTTCCTGTATTTTTGCATAAGGTCCCATAACTCATCAATACCTTCCCCTGTTAATGATGATATGCGTTTTACAGGAATTGACCAATGCTTACTCTTTGGACGGATATATTTGAGAGCTGATATATATTCATACTGCATACGTCTAGCTGCTGGAATAAGATCACCATCACTCTTGTTGACCACAATAAGATCACTCATCTCCATAATACCTCTCTTTAGGCCCTGTAATTCGTCTCCTCCACCAGGTGGAATAATAAGAGCAAAGAGATCTACCATGTCTACTACAGAAAATTCACTCTGACCAACTCCTATGGTTTCCACAATTATAATATCAAACCCCGCTGCCTCGCACAACACAATGGCCTCATTAGTTGAACGAGTAACTCCTCCTAGATGACCTCTTGAGGGTGATGGTCTAATGTAAGCATTCATGTCTCTTGAGAGTTCAGGCATTCGGGTCTTATCCCCAAGCAAAGAGCCTCCAGTTGTTGCTGAAGATGGGTCAACTGCTAAAACAGCTACTTTATGACCTTTAGCAGTATAAAATTTGCCTAATCTTTCAATAAAAGTTGATTTTCCAGCCCCAGGTGGACCAGACAAACCGAGACGCAAACTTAAGGATTTAGTCCCATATAAATAATAAGTATATTTGGCATCTTGTAAGACTTCAGTTAACAGTTGTCTGGCTTGAAGCTTCTTTTTTGGGTGGGAAGTTTCCACAAGTGTGATGGACTCGGCCAAACTTGCTCGGTGGCCTGCCCGCAGTCCCTTAAGCAAGCGCTGCACCAGTGGATCCCCAGTCCCTGCAGAACAGCACTAGTTTTGAGTGTTTTTTTTTCCTTTCTTCATCCTCATCATGTTGACTGAAACAGCCCTCAATGTTATACAATACTGAACTCCATTACTTAAAACAATGGGTAAATGAAGATCACATATCCCCCAGCCCTGGTTGAAAAAATGGGCAAGAAGAATGCAGGTGATTTTCACATTTGCAAATAGATAGATGGCTGTATGGACTCATCACTCATTCAAATACATTGTAGCTACACCATATGCACCAAGTTGTGAGGAATTCCCTTGAAACTTATGGACTAATCAATTTTACAAACTTACGGTCAGATCTGCAAATGAACAGACTAACCTGAGTGGAACCATCATGGCATGTACTGAACATATAATTCATCCATATACAGTACTGTGCATTATCTATAAAGTAAACCCTCGATAACTCGGAATTTCATATAACTCGGCATGGAGATGGTCTCGGAATGTATTAGTATAACTCGGGAAATGCCAAGATGTATAAAATTATCTGGGAAAATTTCTGCATATCTGGCCACCTGCATCACCTTCCATGCCTCCGTGGCATCTACCATGCCTCTGTTACTTACGGTACCATGCATCTGTGTCTCCTACTATGATGCTTTATTCTTTGCCTGCAGTGCTGGTAAGTGTTACTTTTTTACATTAAGTAATTACTTATATGCATATATGGGTGGATAATTTTTTAGTGTATTTTTGTAGGAGAGGGGGGAAGTGCCTCGATAAGTTGGAATTTGGGATAACTCAGCAAGGCCAGAGCCCCATATGTGCCGAGTTATCGAGGGTTTACTGTACGTACTGTACAGTACAGTACAAAGGTGCATGAAAATAATAATAATAAAATAAAACAAAAAATAAAAAATATGAGGAATTGCAGTTTTTGTACTTCTGTTCTGTAATTCTTTTTACTGTATAAATACTGTAATGGTCAACCATTACATTCGATGTGACAAGTCATCCATATGAAGTGATCGTCATGTACAGTAGCTATACAATGAAAATAGCATTGATGGGACATTGATTAAAGTTTGGCAAGAATAGTTACCCAAATAATACTGTACAGTACTGTATAATAAAAATTACAATTCACCAGCAACTCATAACAAGAATTGTCTTGGTTAATCAGCTACCGAATGAAAAATTTCTATTGAAATAACACAAATCCGTTAGATGAATAGCACTTTGTATTTTGATTTTCGCCCCAATTTATATTGTACATTCTGTACTTAAAAGACACACTGTCCCGTCCACCTGACAATGGCACCATGCTTGCAATAATATCTATTTGTGTGAGTAGGAACATTTCACAGATATTAATACAGTACAGAATACATCATACATCCATACATATAAACACTTCCAGGGTTCAGTACATATGGAAAGGGCAATGGGAATCACTCGGTTGCTTACTGATATTAACCCTCTCAGCCTCGCATGACCACATAGTGGCGTTGAACATAAAAAGAGAAGAAACTTATGCTCAGCCTCGCGACGCCAACGTGGCGTCCAATGGGCTGTATTTTCAAATAACTCTAAAACTATTCAGTGAAACTGACTGACCTTTGGATGCCATTTGACAGATGGTATTGGTCACCGTGTGAGTGGCGTGTGTCGTCGTTGTGGCCATTAGAGCGAGAGGAGGGTACGCTTCTCGGCCCTTTAAATTGTTCCACGAGTTTTTGTGTTATATTATTTTTCCTTATACCACGATATTCTACATGGTTTGTTCTTTATTTTAGTATATAGTAGATATCAATGAAAATCATAATACGTACAAGCAAAATGGGAATGGAAATCGAGAAGTTACTACCGTAAACATTTTCCTACTTTTTTAACTTTACTCAAAAAAAGTGGCTTAAATTTCAAGAATGTTCAATTTTTTATGGTTTCATACAACTTTTCAGACAATTTTACACTAAAAGAGACCCCATTACAGTTAATAAAACAATTCCATGGCAGTGAAATGGGCCTATTTTTTTTTTCAACGATTTTTCGGCAAAAACCTCCATATGAGTCTCAGGCTCCGAGGTTGAGAGGGTTAATAATATTTATTCAATAGAATCCACTGGCAATATTATACAGTACAGTAATTACTTTGACATGTACAGTATATAGACAATGCCGGTACAGTATACAGTTCAGCATATGTATGGGCACCACAGGTACAGTATATGGTGTAGAACTGTACATACACTGCAGGTACAGTGTACAATTTCTAGTGTACCTAGACAGTGCAGGCATCCAACAATAGTGAACAGTAAGGCAATTCGACCAAGGATAGCTGACGAAGCTATCAGGCACTTATTTTCAAGAGGGTTCCTTGCTTACGTTTGTTTTTAAATTAATATTATATTTCCAGAAATAAAAGTGAAAGTTTGTTAATAAATACAGTAAGTCCTCGCTTAATGTTGTTTCGGTACTACGTCGCTAAAGTTTAGACCAAAGATTTGTTTAGCGTCTTGGTGACTCGGTACGTCGTTTTGTGTTGTCATGGACTACTTTTACAGCGCATCACCCTCTCTCGTCTAGCCACGGAACGTCACGGTGTCCCCAAGATACGCCAGACTGTGTTAGGCTTCCACAGTGTTTGTGAGTGTTTAAGTGTTTTTGCTCTTAATACTGTACTGTAACCATTCAAAATGGCTTCCAAGCGCACACTAAGTGCTACTGACGCTAGTGTGAAGAAGCAACGTAAGACCACTAGCCTTGCTAAGAAAATGGAAGTTTTAAACCGTTTTGAAAGGGAGGAGGAGCTACCCGCCGGGTCTCAGTGAATTGACACCCTCCTGGCTCACACCATCCGCTGCTTCAATATCCACCACACACTCACTCTACCACCTCCGCCCATTGGTGAGTACCAATACCAACTTAGTACAGTAGTTGTACATGCATGCACTGTTTTCTATAGAAATGGCAATGATTTTCTGTATATGTAATGTATTGCATGAGACAAAGGGAGGCTCAGGAACGTAACTCCAGTATTTTATCTATTTCTTCTGGGGAAAATTTATCTGCTTAATGTTGTTTCATATAACGTCGCGTTTTCAGGAACTTAACCCTGACGTTAAGCGAGGATTTACTGTACAACAAGCATTGCACTGTACAGTAATTGGATGATCTGAGGCTGATGGATCCTTCAACATTCTGTGGTTAATAATATAAAAACTTACTCTTCTCTTGCTATGGCTTCATATGTTATGTAATTTTTTTTAAATTTGAATTGCTTGATATTATTACTGGTTTTAATGTGGTCCGGTAACTTGTTCCAGTCCATTATATATACTGTAACTTTAAAGAAAGTGTTTTTATATTACCGCAAAAACACACGCTGGGAAGCATTTGTCAACAATTCAAACATAAATATGGTACAGTACTGTATTGTTAAGTAGACAACAGGCATGACGAATCTTTCTTTTATAGAAATTTTTTGTTAGGGAGCTCGCTAACCCAGACCATTGTCGTTAAGTGTTACCCAATTCCTCATCATCTTGTGGGGATTTTCATGAGGTAAGAAAAAAGATGTCAATAGAAAAGTCTAAATTTTCTGGATTACTTGCACAAGCATTCCAGAGTATAATTAATAACAAGTTGATTTTATGAACTTGCAGATGAATGTAGATACAGACAGACTCATCAGAGAGGAACCATCTTGGGTAAGATTTGATGAAAGCAGTCTCTTAGCACCAACTTGTCCATAAAAGAAAAAGCTCTCTTACCTCGAAAAAATTATAAAATGTGTAAGAGGAATGTTTTTTATGTCTGAAATTAATGGAGGAAGACAGCTAACCACGACCTTGCCACAAGTGCCATGTCTAAACTAACTATAGGAATAATTCTTTTCTCAGAAAGGAATTTCATTCTATTTTAGAATAAAATAAAAAATAACTCGTATCTTAGGTTAGGTAGGTTAGTTTTCTTCATTTTTATGAACAATAAATTACAATATTGTAGTTGTATCTAAAAAAAAAAAGTTTCATCAGAGGCAGAACATAACATAAAATGTTGCACGTGAAATTAAGCAAAACATATTCCTCCTGCACTTGTTGTTCCATTTCACAGGGTAAGAAAGCTTTTATCGATAAATATTCAATATTACTACAGTATTTCACTTGTTGCCACTAATGAATCTTGGGAATTTTATCGTTCCAATCAGTAATTTTTATAATTATAAGGCACTTCTTTAATGGCATTTCTGGCACTAATTATGTATAAGTGAGATATTTAAAATTTTATTATGTATGTTCATATGTGGAAGTACACACCCAGAACATTGAACGAATGGAGCCCCCCAGGTTAGGTTAGGTTAAGTTAGATTCAAAACTGTTTTCAATGTTTTTTGATGTTTTGAACACTTTTTACCTGAGTTGGGAGGGGGGGAGCTTATCTCCGAAACTATTGATCTGCGTCATAAATGAAGGTCAAATTCGACCATAACATCAAAAACCATTGGAAAAACATACGTAGTTTCAACTTCAATTTTTGTATAGTGGCAACAAGTGAAAACTTACCAAATATTCTGTAGTGACCATTCACAGAAATTACTTTCAAAATGTGTTTTCATACTGTTTTTCAACTGATTCAAACGAAAGTAATATTGCAGTAAACAGCAACCACAGAATTCCGGAAATTCACTACACTCAATCGATAGAACTATATTTTCTGAGATAATTTTCTTATATTACACTTCCATCGCAAATTGATAATAAGGAAGTTATTGAATTTTAAAAAGAATAAAATCAAAGCAATTGTTATATTCTCGTGGAGGCCGACCACGCGACTCTGGGTTATTTCATAGCGTCTGGGAGTCCGGGAGCAAAGTCCCAGGGTAGGGCCACTGGGTGCAGAGTCCCCGGCTAGAGGGTTAGGCAAGGTTTAGTTTTGGTTATATTGTATAAGTTAGCAAGCACAGAGTACTGGGAATGGAGAACACACAAACAATAGAACTATTATTTCTACTATTTTTTCGTAAATAACAGAATTTGTTGCAAAATGTTGTCTTCTGATGTTGCGATTAGGACAATTTTGGAATACACTTCTACGTACCAAATTGTAAAAAAAAAAATAAAGTGTTTGTTTTATTGATTCAACATATTTATAAAGGGATATGACATAAAATGCCTCTACAAGTTCCTATGCTCCTGAATGGGAATACAATAGGATTTCGAAAACGTCCACCGTGTCAACAATAATACTAGAACTCACCTCCTGTTGTTGCAGATATATTCTTAGTATTTAGGGATAAATTCCGACAAATTAGTCTTGATAGTAAAGCCACCGCCATTATAAACGTGAGGAAAATTGAGACACAGCAGCTGCCGGTCACAGAGATTGATGTAAACAAACCCTGCCACCACATTCAAGATAAATAAAATAAGAATATTACTAAGGAAAAAATGGTAATGTGTTTTCGAACAACATTAATCCTATGAAAATTTAAATCAATTATTAATTAAAGCAATATATAATTAATTATATCAATATATAATTACTTCCATTATATTGCTCACAAGGTCAAACCCCCAGAACATATGAACGAATTTCATTAGTGTTTCATGACTTATTATTTCAAACAAAACCCAAATCTATATGATTTGACGCATAACTTTTTCTTTTTACTGTAACAATGAAAGTTTAACATTTTTCCAGTATGAAGAGTATCATCATCTCGGGTGAAATAAGCTGAGGTGCTTCATCTTCACTTGATCCTTTTTATGCTAAATTCATTGAATGAATATTTACATAAGAAACAACAAAATATTTTTCTTACGTTAGTTGCCAGACATACAGTAGCAAGTTGCATTGTTATAAAAAAGAAATACTGTATATACTTTCTTATGAAAGTTATGGAACCCAGGAAATCTGCGCCCTTCTGGTCATTCATATCCTCCCCAGAGCAGCCAACTAAAAAAAATCCCCTACCCAGTTTTAATTAATTGTTTTTATTTTAAGTCGACTAATGATTGTACTTGTACTGTACTATATTATGTAAGTCAGGACACAAAGAACTACAAATAAGCACAATAGCTGTATTAAAATGAAAATAAAACATGCACAGCAAATAAAGTTAGTGCATACCTGTTGTCTCTGTACAGTAAAAAAACAAGAGCAGAACCAGAGTCCTGAATCGAAGTGTTGCCTCACCAGGCCAGCCCCAGGTTCAAGCCGAATATTTAAATAACATTGAGAAAGAGAGAGATAATTGCACCTTTTAACTCTAGAGAGGCTGTCACATTCAACCGGGAAATCTAATTAGTACTTGAGATGGTTTATCGTTAGGGTTGAACTTACCGAAAGATATTAATGGCTCATCACCCTCACCGGGAGAGAAAGAAATGAGCCATTGAACTTTCCATAATGTAAAGTGTTGTAAAGTAAAAGGTGTGTGTGCGTGCGCGCGTGTGGTGGCTTTGTTGGCTATCCTTGGTCGAATTGCCTATTTAGCATGGTCTGTACTGTATACCCAAACTGTCTATGGTTACTTTGGTTGTATACCTGTAGGGTCTATGTGTATTATATGTCTGCGTTATCTAAATGCATGCTAAATCAATAGTAAACTTTTATGACGATTATACTGAATAACTTTCTTCCCTCTCTCCAAATAAAATTGGTTTGGAAATATTATTTATCCTTTGATTATTACATCTATTTCTCTTAAATCTGTATGAAACTGTCATTGGAAATGATCTAGAAAGTTTTGCATTTCCTAAGATCGTTATTCAGAAATGGTCTAACTATTTCAGAATGTTCCAGAACGTCTTGGTACTGTACTATACATTTTGAACAGGTTCCACCATTCAAATTATATATTTTTAAGTTGACTATAACGTTATGAAACTAATAAAACCAGGAGAATAATTGTATAATGAAACTAAACTTTGGGGTTGAGGTTGTTAAATCATGGCTATGAACACAACGGCTATTTTCAAACCCCGCGCCACAGGTTGCCAGAGCCCAGAGGGGCTAGTGGGCATATATACAGAGGAGAGGAGGAGGTGCCTGTCATCATTCAATTGCGGGAACACCGAACGCTGCTCCTGGAAGACGATTTTATCCCCTGCTCTCCCTCGGCTATACTTCATTCCAAAATGGTATGTTGATTAAAGTTTGACAGTTGAGTTGTCTATCGCGTTAACAACTTGCAATATACTAAAATTTTTAGTTTGTAGAATTAAAATAATTTAAGTATTGTTCGTGTGCCTGTGATATCTTAATGCGAAACTATCATAAATATAGTAAGTTATTAGTTTCTGTTCATATTGGTTTATGATACACTAGTGTGGAAAGGGACAACCGCTGTGCACATATAGTATGTATGTAAGTATTGGACGATCTGTAATGAGTTTGGAATTTGTAACGCAGATAAAATATAATCTGTCGACAAGACTCGGCGTGAGTTTTGTGTAGTCAGGGACGATGCAAAATGTTAGTTTCACAGTGAAAGTTGGAACCTTGCTCTGGGAAGTAATAATTAATTGAATAGATTACTGAATAATATGTCAAATGTATCAGTCGGTGCTTTGGGGAGGTAGCAGCTATTAAGATTGTTCGCAATAAGTTTTACGCTGGTATCCTAGGCGAACATATTTCATCTGTGTTAGAATACCAGTTTGAATGTCAGTCCTAAATGGCCTTTCCCTGGAGGATTTCTGCCACTTTTACAACGGGAAACAAACTGAAATAACAATTAAGTTTGTTTTATGACGCAATTTTACACCGTTGGTATTTTTCAAAATTTCATGTCATATTTTAAAGTGGTATATAATAAGTTGAATTTTTCACCGGTATTCACTTTTATTCATATGTTCGTCGATAATGAGTATTAGATATCACCAGAAAAAAACATCACTAGGGAGTAACCGACTAGTACAGTACAATAGACAGGGGGAGGGAAATTGTGATAAGATTATATTCACCTAGGTACAAAAGCCACTCCTTGCGTCTCGGAGATAAGATGGGAGTTTACGGGATGTTGTCAACCGCAGTTCTCTTCAGTTATCGCCGCCTAAGATATGTAACTGCATGACCTCCACTACTTCCCTCCCCACTCCTATCTCTACCCCCACCCCTCACCTCTCCCATCACTACCCCCGCCCCTCACCTATCCCATCACTACCCCCACTCACCTCTTCCGTCACTAAACCACTCCTCCCTCCCGTCTCTTTTCTCCCATCTCTATCCCACGGTGATCCGCATCCCTCTCCTCCCACCCTCCTCATCTCTCACCTTTCCCCCCTGGACCTTACGCACAGAATCTGATTTTTTCCGTCAAATTGGGGAGGGTCCACATCACCTAACATCCTGTTACCCTTACTAGCTGTACTAACGCGTCCCTCCCACCCCTCCCTTGACCCAGAACCACTCCCAGTGATGGCTGTCTAACCTTTCCTCAGCTGTAGTTAGCCCATGAGGACAAACATCCATTCTGAATGTACATTTTCATTAGTATGAACCAAATACTGTACAAAATACTAGGATGTTGTTTCTCACAATATATCCATTAACATGAGTTCAACGACCAACTGCATACTTGAATACGTTAAAACACATTTTAAATTTGTCACACGTTAACTGGAGTATCATATTTTAAGTCTGTCATATGTAAACTGGAGTACCGTAACCAGCACAAACCAAATGACCTTCCCTACCACTGTTGACGTACGGAGATGGAGGCTGTGTGGTATGTGTTGATCACCGTAAATTGAGAGGGGTAGGTTTAAATACCAGTACAGTATAACTAGAGCGTGACAAGCACCTGTTGGCCAGGAAACGTGAGAGTTAAGAACTTAAGTGTAGAAACAGTAACTGAAGTGTGTTGACTCACAGATACTCACAGATGATCTGGAAGAGGCTCACGCCTGTGACTCCAGCTCAATTGCCTCTTCTCTACTCAGACGGTGGCTGTGTGGCGGATATTTGTGCCCTATAATTATATACTTCTTGATTTTTCCAGTATTTATCTATTTTTGCTTCAAACTTTTCCACCGTCTCCACATTCACTACCATTAACGTAGACATGTTGAAGGTTGATATTTAGAGGTAGCATGTTGGTGCAGGTCGATGTAGTATATAAACCGCCACTTTAGTGTTTATGTATATGTTTGTGTGTATGTTCCTGTGCGTGCTTTAGTGTATGTCCTTCTGTGCATGTGTCCGAAAGTACTCGTATGTGTGCTTATGTGCATATCCGTGAGCGCTTACCGGTATGTGTGCAGGTGTGAGGTCCTGTGTATGTGCGCTAGTCTACACGCGTGTCTTTATTTCGTGTGTTTATGCATGACTAAGATGTATGGTTATATTTTGTTAACTTCACTGTACTTGGAGAAAAATGTTATTTTGAATGTTTAATATTGGGGTGGGGCAGTCGAGTGCGTATGAAGGACATAGGTGGTTTTTATTTGGAGGTTATTGTTCACATAGCTGACTACAAAGTTGAAATCCTACTAATCTAAACATAGAAAGTTTAATGTTTTCATGTCAGGAGTTTCGCACTTCGCAATGCTCCTACCTATTTATTTATTTATTTTTACACCGATACAAAGAGGGCAAATCTTGTGTATGTTCGTGTGTTCTTTCTTACTCTCGCATCAGCTGCATAGGTCCATCATACTCTGGGGGGTATTGTGACCACTCACTATACAACATATTCGTCTTCAATATACGTACTGCAATTTAACTTTATGCCACGGTGCCTACTGACTTGTGGCACCTGCTAAGATTATTAATTGTTGTACTGTGTTTTATATTCGGTCATATTGGCGTTCTTTTCTTTATTTAACAATTACCGGCTTATCCTGGATGACTCGTGCTTTTGACCGAGATATTTTTTTACTGCAGAAGCTCGTACATCTGATGATAAACATGCCAAACTTAGTTGGTATCACGTCTTACGTCCCTAATATCCCTTTGGAGAGATGGTCATTAACCTGATCAAACAAAAATGCTGTTATTTTAATGTCTTTAATGAATAAATTTTTGGTTAAGTATAACAAAATGATTCGACGAACGTTGTAGAGTAAGTTTTATGTAAATTTATGAATTGGGTAAAAAGTAATACCCACATTGAACCCTGAGCATTATTGGTAATATAATGAGTAAATAGAGGCGGTTCCAACTAAATAATTCCAGTTCTTGCCATCCCTCATCCTCAAGGTTTTCAGAACCACGAGACAACATTCACGCAATGCAAACTCTATACCTTGTGATTCAGTGCGGTGGAGCGGCGAGCTGAAGGTTACGCTATCCACTTGTTGGCTAGTTTATGTTCTAATACTTCCTTATAATACACACAATAAATGAGATGATGATAAAATTTTATTAAAATTTTAATTGTATAGCGAGTTGGTAATGTATAATGTCACTGAGAACTCCAAAATTTTAGTTGCGAGTAAGTGTTGTGTTACGTGACTCGTTCCTGACTCGCGTTGACTTTATTTCCCTTGTTTGCCTCTTGGGGTGGGGGTGTATTGTGTACATCCCAGAATGCTTCTTGCCTTGCCTGTGACATAGCATAATATCTAGAACTTATCACATCAGGTACGTTTCTTCGTTGTACATAATTCACTGAAGATTCATCCCCTCTTGTGTATATCATCTGAAGATTAATCACCCTACCACCAATCTAACCAAAAGTAACATAACAGCTCGAGCGTCTAGTAAGCTGATGAATGGTGAAATGTAAACAAATATACTGTATTAGATTATTCGAATTGCGTTTTCTTAAGAGGCACCCACCTACCCAAATAACAGAGTGAATGCGATTTTGTTATCAAGCGACAAAGGTGTACTTGTATTCAGTTTAAAACGTATGCAACTTAATTTATCTTTTAACATCTGGAATCCAAACCAACTGAAACTTTGGTTTTGTTTGTATAATCAATGTTATTTTGTCTCTTATTTATAGTGCAGGTATATATGAGTATTGAGAGAATATTCATTCTTTGGTTCAACTTATTAAAGTAAGTATGTTCTCCCCCCATTTCTGTGAACAATTGAGATCACGACCTTTCCTGAAAACCAAGTTTTATTGAATTTGAGTATTGACGTGAGGCTGAAATATAATATCCCTGATTTACTTTAGGTGGGTTTAATTTTGAAGAATAGCTCAACATATTGTCGCCTTGGGCCAACATTGGGATGTTGATGACGTATTAATCATTGTTAGCTAAACGGGATTATAGTGCAGTTACCTTCTTGAATTGAATTAAAACAGTTTATTTAGCCAGAAAAATACAGATACAGAATGGATAATAATAACAATATTAACATGGTTGAGCCAGTTGAGAACCTGAGCTCTCTTTGAGGCACCTGATATATACTATACATTTATCTCAAGGAAGTATTATGTAACATTTAGCATCATCTGGAATAGTACAATAGCATGGTGGTAATAAGAACATCTCATAATGTTGCCACGGTTATCACTTCAATATTCATTATTATTATTATATATATATATATATATATATATATAAAAATTACAGTGGAATTGAAAAACTTAAGTATAATGGGGGAGCAGTACAACCTGGGTTGTACAGTAATAAGGTTGAACAAGAGGACAGAGCTGGATTATGTCTAGTTGGCAATTTTGTTTATTGCAATGGTAATTACTTATTTATTACATGATAATTTCCGATAAAACGGTTTTGATGGTACAATAAAAGCAGGTACTGTGAATATAGTAAGTGTTACAAGAAATATTAATACTTCGACAATAGATATTTTTTAAGAGATGATTTAAAGGAAGGGAGCGTAGTCTTTGCTCGGATGGGTGGGGGTAAGTTGTTCCACACCTTCACACCATTATATTTTATGGGGGTCTGGGACTGAGAGGAGCGCCTGGGGGGTGGTCTTAGTAGCTCCGGGTGCCTTAAGTTGTATCTCTGATTATTCCGGAACTGGAAATAATTATTGTCAAGCAAGTGATTGATAGATTTGTAAACAAAGAGGGCACAGCAGTAGGTGTTAATATTTTCGAATTTAAAAAAATTCAATATAGCAAATTTTTCGCTTGTGTGATCTGTATTTTTCAAGGAGGTCATTGTCCGTACAACTCTCTTTTGTGTAATAACCAGAGATTGTGTTTTTGAAG